ATATATATATATATATATATATATATATATCGTCATATATATATATCACACACACACACACACGCAGGCACACACACACATATGTGCGGGCATGATGGCCACTTCATTTCTCTCTCTCTCTCTCTCTCTCTCTCTCTCTCTCTCTCTCTCTCTCTCTCTCTCTCTCTCTCATACACACACACACACACACACACACACACACACGCACACGCACGCACGCACGCACACACGGTCATTTTTTGCGGCAGTGCCACAAAAACCATGTGCTTCAAATCCGAATTTCTGGCGTGAGGGCATGATGGAAAGATGTATGCCGCTCATGAGGGCATATCGCACAAGGACCGGTGAAATGAGACTGGCAGTCCAGTAAGGGCACCGCGGAAAGTTGTGCCCCTTGCTGGCAGGGGTATGCAGGAAAGTTCAGAGGCCCCAGGGGCACAACACGGTAATGGAAATTACAGGGGCGCCAGACAATTTTTCCCTTTCAAAAAAAATATATTTTATTAATTTTTAGACTTTTAGTTACATTTTCTTGATTTTTTATTTGACATGAGGCAAAAGTTGATTTTTCTGGATAACATCTAGGCTACCAGCCGGGCCGCCCGGGCCCCGGGTTACCAGCCCGTGCAAGGACAAGGGAAGGTCCCAGCAAAAAAAAAAAAGATCCAAAAAATCTGAAAAAATACTATGTTATGTAGAAAAATAAACTAAACAACTTTTGCCTCAGGCTCACATCGAAATTCCTTACCAAATTTAAAATATAAAATAAAATTTTAAAATATTTTATTTTTTTTTATCTTTTTGGCCCGGCCGGGCAAGTGACCCCGGGCCACTCTGGTAGCCTAGGATAACATAGTTTTTTTTTCCAGATTTTTTGGTGCTTTTTTTTTCTTTTGCAGGGACCTCCCCCGGCCCTTGCCCGGTCAGGCCCACAACCACAGTGACCCTGGCAGCCCCTGGATAGCCTAGCTTTCTACAGGTTTTTTCCCACATTTTTATGTAGTTTGTTATGTACTGCAAGGAAAATGAGCAATAGCGAAATGACAGAAATCCAAAATGTGTTACCATCCTGGCCAATTTCGAAGTATACATACATCAGAAAGTACAATGTCGTCCAATTGCAAAAAGAAATGAAGGAACTTGAGAGGAGAGAGAGGGAAAGAAGAAGAAGAAGAAGAAGAAGTAAGAAAGAAGAAGATGATGATGTACTCCAGCATAGACGAATGACAAGGCTCTTCTTCCTCGCTGACCAATCTCCTCCTCCTTATCTCCTCCCCTCTTATTCAAACAAGAAATAACAATAATAATGTTGAATGGCTGAACCAGAATCAATGTCTGAATCCCACTTCTACTGCAGGCACAACATGAGGTCCACCATAGCTATGGCCACCCTTCTCCTTCCTCGTCATTGCAGGCCGAGGCTATGGTGAGGCTTCAGTCTCCTGTCCAAAGGACAACCCAAAGCAGCTATGTCGCTGCCACTTCAAGCAGCTATGCTGCTGCTCACTGAACCGCCATGCCTGACTCTACCCCGAGCTTCCTTGGTGTGGCACTACCCCAACGGGGGCCTTCCAGATGCAGCGCCTAACAAGGCGATGAAGATGATGTCCACCATAGCCAGGTAAGTACCTCGCCACTCTCCCCCTTGGTCCCCTTCTCCCTCCTCCTCCTACCGGTCGAGCTCCACCATAGCCGAGGTGGAAGCTCCCGGCTTCTTCCTCCCAGCAGCGCTGTAGCAGCCAGCGCTCTTCCAACCAGCGCTCCAACAGCGTGATGCCCAACTCGCACACTGAAGAATGAGGCCGAGCTCTTGCCCCGGCCTCTTGATATAGCGGCCTGCTTGCCTACTGGGCGGTGACTTCCAGGCCGCTCGGCCTCCCAAGCAACCGGTACCTCCTCCCTTTCGGAGGGAAACATCATTGCAGACTCTGATATTGCCCGTACAGGCTCTAGACTCAGACTGGATGGACTGGTACCGGCCTAGACCTAGCCTACCGCTACTGGGCCTCTAAAAATGACAACTTTGTCTTCTTCTGCTCGGCCTCGAGTACCCGGCACATCTACTGCTACTGGGTGCGGTACCGGCCTACCTGCTACTTGAGTGTTTTTCGGCTGCTCTAAGCACCGCGGGCCCCTGGCTCCGCTACTTGAGTGTTTTCCCTGCTGCAACCCTCAATGCCACGGCCACAGGTAAGTACCGGCCCTAAGGGCCTACCAAACAAGCAAGTACCCTTGCGGGTCACACACACACTCATGCCAAAAAGCACTCAGACAGGCACGCAAGTCAACAGGCACGCACACATACAGACTTAGACAACACAGCAGAATGCGGGAATCTCAGCAAGGCTTCCATTCCATCGACAGAACTTCAGAAATCAGCAGTGTTCTCAGTCTGTGTTATGGCGGGTCATTACAAATGCAAAATCACATTGAAAGCCAGAAAAGTCCAACGCTGTCCAGAAAGCAAAAATGCACCGATATATCACCAACGGAGAACCAAAGCACCGAATCCAACATATGTATCCAGAGCCCTTCCTTCCACTTGGCGCTCAGCGCCCAGACTACCATCACGCAGGTACTACCAGCCTACTTCATTACCCACGTCTTCTCCCTCATACACGAAGACCACCACCACCTCCACCCCCGGCTACGTGAGGCTGGCTATGGTGCTGCCCTCAGCAGCGCCCTGCCTTCTCGCACAACCGCATGTGCATGCACACTTGCCCATGCACTAACCCAGCAGCCCGCTAGCGCTAGCTCCAGCAGCGCTGCCGCATCTGCACGCAAGTGCCCGACCCCGATCCTCGGAGCCCGGCCCTTTCCTATATAGAAAGGGGCAGGCGAATTGCCACTTGCTTGCCCCGCGGGACCGACTTTCCAGTAGCTTCAGTCTCAGCCAAAGTGTCTGCGCCCAGGCCCGTTCAGACAGTGGCCTGGGACCAAGTTGGTTAGGCATGCCCAACCACCCAGGCACAAACGTGTGGTGCTCCCTGTTTCGACCACGTTGCTGGAAGAGCCTGGAAGGCTCACGCATATTTCCGATTCTCACGAGCAAAGGGGATGTAACCAACTGGCACGTGGCACCCATCAAGATTTGCAAAAATTGACGAACTCAGGGCAAGATTCAGGGGGGGGGAAGGGCGCCTTCACTTAGGGCGGGCACGCGCATGCTGCAGGGCCTTCTGCCGAGGGGTAAACCCTCGCAGTATTCTTTCTTTGCATACATTTTTTGCAATTGCACTTTCTCCGTGTCCTTTTTCATGCTTTTTCAATGCACTTTTCCCAAACCCAAAATAAATAAATAATCATAAATTACTATAATAAATTAATATATTCTTAATAATAAAATTAATAATGATTAATGTGCACTTACTCAGCAGGTTCCTCTTTCCCTGTCTCATCAATTGACTTTATCCGCTTGATTGCGAGTGGGTCTAGAGAGATCCCCACACGTTTTGCTGCAATCTCTGACATCTTTGCAACCGTACGATGATCTTTACATCATTCATACAATGATATTTACATCATCGACGTAGATACGAAAAAGATTGTGATCCCATATGCTTTTGCATTAACCAAGCAAAATCAATGTCCGAAACGTTCTTGTGTTGTCCCCTGCACAGATGGCAAGTACCACAGCGGAGGTGAGGGCAGGGAAAAAAAAAAAAAAAAAAAAAAAAAAAAAAAAAAAAAAAAAAAAAAAAAAAAAACATTCGAGATTACTGTTCAGGTTCAGCCTTTCAATACCAACAAACAGAGATTTGCCCATTGGAGAAGGGGAGAAAAGGAGAAGGGGGGCAATACCAAAGATATTATGCGCAGCACTATATGCAAACAGAAGTTCAGGAAAATGTGGTCCGACCTTGGACCACAGCAACTACCTCCTAAATAAATCAAGCCTTACAATTAAAGAAAAGGAAAAAAACAAATTTGAGCAATCCCTGCAGACACTCTGAGAAAAAACGTGTGTAGCCGTACAGATCGTCGTCATTAATCCAACGGACTGCGTGAAAATAAGTACACTTTCAAAAACAAACAAAAAGTATTTCCAACCACCTTCCCACAAGCCAGCGCAAGGCAGAGGGCCTCTTCACACCACTGTCGAAACGAGAAAAGAACGGATGCAACTACCCCAGGAAGCGGTAAGAGGCATCCGTTGCTATTCATAGTAACAAATGCATCCTGCCATTCTCTGTGGGAAAATGCAGTTGTACATTTTTCGTTTCTACAGTGGTGCGGCGAGGCCCAGAATGTCATTCCCAGCGGTCTGACCGTCCTTACATAGCGTTGACTCAAGTTGACTGGCATTGACCAGTCGCTCTCCTTTGACCGCATTGACGGTCCAGATTTACCAAATCTAGATGGCCTGGATGCAGCCTTAAAGCAGAAGTACCGTATTCCCGATGGGACTGGAATCTTCCGGATATCTGCAGACAACCGTTGATATGCATCTGATCTATGGCCGTGGCAGACAACTGGGTTGACTTTGACTTCGGGCTTGCTTTTCCCCAGCTGATCTGGACTGTTGATTTCCCAAGAGTCAACTCGAGTTGACTAGTGTAGACCAGTCCCTCTCCTTCAACTGCATCGACGGCCTGGATGCAGCCTTGAACAACCAGTACACAGGCCCAGCCTTGCTGAAAATGTTTAGTTGCCTGGTCCAAAAAAAGTCGGCACAGGCGCACTGTTGATAAAATAAATAAAAATCAGTGGTCGGCATCATGTTTTGGCCTCCGACAGGGGCCAGCGGCCAATGCGAGGCGTGTACTGGTTGATTAAAGCAGAAGTACTGTATTCCCGTTGGGACAGGAATCTTCCGGATACCTGCAGACGACCGTTGATATGCATCTGATCTATGGCCGTGGCGAACAACCGGGTTGACTTCGACTTTGGGCCTGCTTTTCCCGTGCAGACCTCAACTGTTCATTTTCCAAGAGTCAACGGCACAGCATTTGGCTCAGGCCATGATAATACCCCTGGACCTTAGGTCCGTTTTCAGACATTCGTCAGCCTCAGGCCGCGACCTTTGACCCCTCTTTCTAGGCTCTGATCAAAAGTTACGACCCCTTTTTTTCTTCTTCTTTTTTTTAAGCTCAAAACTCGGCGTACCTTAATAGGTTGGGCAATAAGAGCAGCCCCCCCTATTAGGGTCCATTTGGGTCACTCCATCTATTCGTGGGGAGCTGCACCTGCTGGAAACCGGGTCCAGCGTCCCATTTGCATGCACAATGATGCTTAAAACAAGAAAGACCGTCCTGTGCTATGTGAAGGATGCAACTGAACCTCTTCACCCCAGCAAGGGTGCCAGTTTGAACTATATTTCCAAGTTCAGACCATCTAATCCACCCTTGCCCACGACTGTACGGATTTGAACTGAGTTTATTACATGCGCTTTTAAAAAAAAAAAGAAAAAGAAAAAGAAGAGTAGGCAGGCCCCCTTTCAAATCAGTAAACGGCATAATAATAGGTATAACTGCCACGTGGCAACCAATAAGGGTAGTATCATAATTACCCCACTGGGCATTTAATTTGGATGTTCCTGGCCACAATTTTGGCATTTTTCGAACCGAAATCATCATGGCTCACCAGGTTCCCGCGAATATGACCTGACGATTCCTATTCCAAAAAAAACGCTGAAATTGCGGCCAGGAATGTTGAAGTTAAACCACCAGTACTTCCTAAAGCCATACCCGTATATCAGCCACAACTTTAGGAAACGTATGTGCCACTACAGGAGCGCCCAAATTCATCAAATTAAACGTTTCTAGTACTTTCTACTCTATTTTTTTCATCGGCCCATGGCTGGGCCAAGCATACTGGTGATTTCAAATCATGCATCAGTCGTGGGCTGTGGCTCGTCATTTTGGTCAAAGGGACGAAATAGGGGTCAAAGGCCATGCCCAAGTCATGCAAAACTGCTTGAACGAAGGCCTGTTGCTGTGGGGTATCTGAAGCAAGGCCTAAAACTGGCCTTCAAAGGCCCAACGTGTGGAAAGTCAAAGGTCAACAGCAGCTCGGAAATTCAGCCCCACGAGTCAAAGTCAACATGGATCCAGTCCAGGCTGCCAATCAGACACACACCTTTGGCTGTTTGCAGGTATCTGTAAGGAATCAAGTCCAAGTGGGAATCTGCAACTGTACGGGATCCAGGCCATTGGCTGCGAGACAATCTGGGCCATCGTATCTAAGAGACCAGAGGCTGGTCAACCAGAGTCAACACTACAAGCTGACCCATCCCCTGCTGACCGACATTCAGTCTTGCACATGCTGCTTGACGTTGGCTTGACGCTGGCTTGGCGTTGCCTTGACGCTGGTGCAACGCTGATGCGACGACGTAGGACTGCTATTGCATTACGTTGGCGCCTTTCTTTGTCTTCGGCGCCAGCTGGACACTTGATTATGCTGACGTGGCTCTTGCCACACTGATTATGACATTGATGGTATCGGCGCGGAGGAGGAGGATCAGGGTTGTGAGATTGGTCAATGTGGAGGAAGCATACCTGTTTGCGTTCGTGGTCGACCTTGCGCACTGTTGTCCGTCTTCATAAGGTGTCTGCTGTTACGATCCTGGTCATTTCCCAAGTGCAAATTCACAATGAGAGACAATGCCACCCAATTGCGAAAGAAATGAAAGCACTTGCAAAGAGATAAAGACCAGAGGAGAGGTAAAGAAGAAGAAGAAGAAGAAGAAGAAGAAGAAGAAGAAGAAGAAGTACACCAGCAAGACCAATGACAATTTCCCCCTTCTCTCTTTCCACCTTCCTCCTCCTCCTTCTCTTCACCAATCTTATTCTTCTCATAATAATAATAATGACAATGAATGGATGAACCAGAATCAATATCCGAAGTTCCCTCTTACTGCTGACTCAACTCAACAACAACAACAGCAACAACAAGTCCACCATAGCTATGGCTTCCCTCCTTCAACCTCCTCTCTCCTACATAGGCTATGGCGGACTACCCCCAAGCAGCTAGGGTACTGCGCTGATGTCCAAGGGACAACCAAAGCAGCTATGGTGCTGCGCTGATGTCCAAAGGACTACCCAAAGCAGCTATGCTGCTGCTGACTTGGTCCGCAATGCCTGACTCTGCCTCGAGCTTCCCTGGTGCCGCACTACCCCAACTGGGGCCTTCCAGATGCAGCGCCCAACAAGGCAATGAAGATGGTGTCTACCATAGCYAGGTAAGTGCCTCACCACTCTCTCCCTCAACCTCCTTCTTCCTCCTCCTCACACTGGGCTGCTCACCATAGCCAGGCTGAGCGCCCAGCTGCCTTCACCTCCACCCAGCGCTGTGGCAGACCAGCGCTAGCGCTCCAGCAGCATGTCGCCAATCCTTGCATACCGCAAATGAACAAGAGCTCTTTGCTCTTCCTGAAGATATAGCAGCCTACCGGCCTCCTGGGCGGTGACTTCCTAGGCCGAGCGGCCTCCCAGCAACCGGTACCTCCTCCCTTTCGGAGGGAAACATCATTGCAGGCTCTGTTATTGTCCAGACAGGCCCTAGACCCGGGCTACTTGGACTGGTACCGGCCTACCTCTAGCCTACCGCTACTGGGCCTCTAAAAATACCAACTTTTTGTCTTCTTCTGCTCGGCCTACCTGCTACTTGAGTGTTTTTCCCCAGCTGCTCTAAGTGCCGTGGGCCTATCCCCCACTACCTGAGTGTTTACCCCCCTGCAACCCTCAAAGTCACGGCCACAGGCTGCTCTAAGTGCCGTGGGCCTATCCCCCGCTACCTGAGTGTTTACCCCCCTGCAACCCTCAAAGTCACGGCCACAGGTAAGTACCGGCCCTGCGGGGCATTGCAACCAACAAGTACCCTTGCGGRWCACACACACTCAACRGACAAGCACTCAGACAGGCATGCAAACGGCCAGGCACGCACACACACACAACCGGTAAGCACTCAGACAGGCATGCAAACCAGCAGACACACACACATACAGACTTGGGACCACAGCAGAATGCGGGAATCACAGCAAGGCATTCATTCCAGTGACAAATCCCAGAAATCAGCAGTGTTCTCAGTCTGTGTTTTTGGCGGGTCATTACATTACTCCCCTCTCGAGAGCGAGGTCCCTTCGAGCGAATAACTCAGTCAGAGTTGGCACAGAATGCGTCGTAAGAGTACAAAAGGTAACGTCTGCTTTCCCATCGTACTTGGACGGCAACGTGGCCGCCCTCTTGTCCACCGTGGGACCGTTGTACTGAACGCCTGTAAAGAC